TTCATTTGATTCAATTGGCTTTGTTGGAATGTTTTTTACTTTCATTTGATTCAATGAGCTTTTTTGAATGCATTTGACTTTCATTTGATTCAAAAAGCTCTGTTTGAATGTATTTGACTTACATTTGATTCTGTTAGGTTTGTTTGAATGTGTTTGACTTTCATTTGATTCAATTAGCTTTGTAGATTGCATTTGACTTTCATTTAACTCAAATAGCTTTGTTGAATGTGTTTGACTTTCATTGGATTCATTTGGCTTTGTTCGAATGTTTTTTACTTTCATTTGATTCAATAAGCTTTGTAGAATGCATTTGACTTTTATTTGATTCAATTAGCTTTGTTTAAATGTGTTTGACTTTCATTTGATTTAATTAGGTTTGTTTGAATGTGTTTGACTTTCATTTGATTCAATTGGCTTTGTAGAAAGCATTTGACTTTCAATAGCTTTGTTTGAATGCATTTGACTTTTATTTTCTTTAAATAGCTTTGTTTGAATGTGTTTAACTTTCATTTGATTTAATTAGGTTTTTTTAGATGTTTTTTACTTTCATTTGATTCAAATAGCTTTGTCTGAATGTGTTTGACTTTCATTTGATTTAATTAGATTTTTTTAGATGTTTTTGACTTTCATTTGATTCAATTAGATTTGTTGAATGTATTTGACTTTCATTTGATTCAAAAAGCTCTGTTTGAATGTATTTGACTTACATTTGATTCTGTTAGGTTTGTTTGAATGTGTTTAACTTTCATTTGATTCAATTAGCTTTGTAGATTGCATTTGACTTTCATTTAACTCAAATAGCTTTGTTGAATGTGTTTGACTTTCATTTGATTCAAACAGCTTTGTCTGAATGTGTTTGACTTTCATTTGATTCAATTAGGTTTGTTTAAATGTGTTTGACTTTCATTTGATTCAATTGGCTTTGTTGGAATGTTTTTTACTTTCATTTGATTCAATTAGATTTGTAGAATACATTTGACTTTCATTTGATTTAAATAGCTTTGTCTGAATGTGTTTGACTTTCATTTGATTTAATTAGATTTTTTTAGATGCTTTTGACAATCATTTGATTCAATGAGCTTTGTAGAATGCATTTGACTTTCATTTGATTCAAATAGCTTTGTTTGAATGTGTTTGACTTTCATTTGATTCAATTAGGTTTTTTTAGATGTTTTTTGACTTTCGTTTGATTCAATTAGCTTTATTGAATGCATTTGACTTTCATTTGATTCAAAAAGCTCTGTTTGAATGTGTTTGACTTACATTTGATTCAATTAGCTTTGTTTGGATGTGTTTGACTTTCGTTTGATTCAATTAGGTTTGTTTGAATGTTTTTTTACTTTCGTTTGATTCAATTAGCTTTGTTGAATGCAATTGACTTTAATTTGATTCAAAAAGCTATATTTGAATGTCTTTGACTTACAATTGATCTAATCAGCTTTGTTTGAATGTGTTTGACATTCATTTGATTCAATTAGCTTTGTTTGAATGTGTTTGACTTTCATTTGATTCAAATGGATTTGTTCGATTGTTTTTTACTTTCGTTTGATTCAGTTAGCTTTATAGAGTGCATTTGACTTTTATTTGATTCAAATAGCTTTGTTTGAATGTGTTTGACTTTCATTTGATTTTATTAGGTTTTTTTAGATGTTTTTGACTTTCGTTTGATTCAATTAGCTTTGTTGAATGCATTTGACTTTAATTTGATTCAAAAAGCTCTTTTTGAATGTGTTTGACTTTCATTTGATTCAATTAGGTCTGTTTGAATGTGTTTGACTTTCATTTGATTCAATTAGGTTTGTTTGAATGTGTTTGACTTTCATTTGATTCAATTGGCTTTGTTGGAATGTTTTTTACTTTCATTTGATTCAATTAGCTTTGTAGAATGCATTTGACTTTTATTTGATTCAAATAGTTTAGTTTGAATGTGTTTGACTTTCATTGGATTCATTTGGCTTTGTTCGAATGTTTTTTACTTTCATTTGATTCAATAAGCTTTGTAGAATGCATTTGACTTTCATTTGATTCCAAAAGCTTTGTTTGAATGTGTTTGACTTTCATTTGATTTAATTAGGTTTTTTTAGACGTTTTTGACTTTCATTTGATTCATTTAGTTTTGTTTGAATGTGTTTGACTTTCATTTGATTTAATTAGCTTCGTAGATTGCATTTGACCTTCATTTGATTCAAATAGCTCTATTTGAATTTGTTTGACTTTCATTTGATTCAATTGGCTATGTTCGAATGTTTTCGACTTTCATTTGATTCAATTAGCTTTGATGAATGCATTTGACTTTCATTTGATACAAAAAGCTCTGTTTGAATGTGTTTGACACACATTTGATCCAATTAGCTTTGTTTCAATGTGTTTGACTTTCATTTGATTCAATTAGCTTTGTAGATTGCATTTGACCGTCATTTGATTCAAAAAGCTCTTTTTGAATGTGTTTGACTTTCATTTGATTCAATTACGTGTGTTTGAATGTGTTTGACTTTCATTTGATTCAATTAGGTATGTTTGAATGTGTTTTACTTTCATTTGTTTCAATTGGCTTTGTTCGAATGTTTTTTACTTTCATTTGATTCAATTAGATTTGTAGAATACATTTGACTTTCATTTGATTTAAATAGCTTTGTCTGAATGTGTTTGACTTTCATTTGATTTAATTAGATTTTTTTAGATGTTTTTGACTTTCATTTGTTTCAATGAGCTTTGTTGAATGCATTTGACTTTCATTTGATTAAAAAAGCTCTGTTTGAATGTATTTGACTTACATTTGATTCTGTTAGGTTTGTTTGAATGTGTTTGACTTTCATTTGATTCAATTAGCTTTGTAGATTGCATTTGACTTTCATTTAACTCAAATAGCTTTGTTGAATGTGTTTGACTTTCATTGGATTTGACCAAGATGGTCAAGGGTCACTCATCCATGGTCAAGATAAGGAAGTCCAAAACGGTGCTAGTGAGCAAGGTACTGAGGGAATCTTTTTGTCCAAATCATTCTTCAATCCAATGCACGGTTTTAGTCCAAGGAGTTTAACAAATGGTTACACTTCTCTTAGTGTAACTAATCTTGTTGAAGGCGTCTAGTTAATATGTCGTTTTTCCAAGCTTGAAGCCACGCATGATTGATGCATTTGAGAGTTACATTGGACTGATTATGAAGGCGTGATTCAAGGCTTGTGTTGGGCGTGAATTAAGGCATTGGTTGGCTGATTATTCTACCTCTTTACTTGGGGGTTATTTGTACTTAATTAGAGAGTTGTTGCTGGAATAAAGGAGCTTGAATCAAGGGTTTAAATGGGAGGTTACAAGCGTGACTCAAGGGGGCTGTTTGCACGTTTCTTGGACGTTGAAGATGCTCTTTGAAGACTTCATGTTTGCTGAACGTTTCCTCTTTAATTTAAGCATAGTTTTTAAGCTTAATTGAGTAGTTTTATTTTGTTGTTATGAGGGATTAATTGGACGGTTATATGAGCCTTTTAATCACCTTATAGTTAGTATCTTATTTTGTCTTTTAAATTAGGCAAGTGATGGATGATCATTAAAAGTTGTAAAGAGGAATCCCATGTTTCTTTATGTAACTTATACACTACTATAAATAGTGTGCTATGCATGAATGAAAAGTATCCAGAAATTTGCTTAAACACTTGTGTTTTGATTGATTAAACGTGACTTAGTAACTAGTCATTTTTAAGGTCCAAGTTTGTTAGCTCAAATTTGAAGAGTGCTAGTTTTGGTAGAGTGTTCCCAAACCTAGGAGCTTGCGTAGTGAACGAGTGGGTTGAGTGTTCCCTATTCCTAACTACACCAAGCAAAGGGTGAGTGTTCCCCTTTGTTATATCCGAAACTAGGGTGAGTGTTCCCCTATTTTCACCTTCATAGTTCACGATTTCACTAAGACCCCTTAAAACATACTTTTGTAACAAGGTTCTCATCTTGTTTACACATCATTTGGCGCGTCAGGTAGGGGGTGTTTTTCTAAACATTTCCTAAGGGTCGAATACCTACATACCATGGGAGAAAACCCGGACTTAAGGACAGCGTTGGAAGCTCTTAATCGATCCATTGCTAGTCAAGAAAGGTTGGCCGAAACCAATGCCAATCTACAAGGGAACCTTGCTGCCTTGATGGCAAGGCTCATGAACGAGCAAGATAGGAGAGATCAAAATGAGGACCCTCCACCTAGGAGGGAGGATAGAAGCCTCAAAGTGGACGTTCCTTCTTTTGATGGGACACTTGATCCAGAGAAGTACTTGGAATGGGAGAAATCCTTGGAGAGGTACTTTGAATATAAGGACATTCATGAGGATGTTCAACGTTTTAAGATTGCCAAAGTCAAGCTTAAAGGCTATGGTGATAGTTGGCTACAAGGAGAGCAAAGGGGACGTGCCCTTAGGGGGAAAGCTCCTATCTCTACTTGGGGCAAACTCAAGAAACGGATGAAAGACCGTTTCATCCCACACAATTACAAGCAAAGTCAATATGTGAAGTGGAGTACCTTGCAACAAAATGGGGACTCTGTGGAGGATTACATAAAAGAGTTTGATAGACTTGCTATTGTGTGTGAAGTAACCGAAAATGAAGAGCTCAAGATGGGGCGTTTCGTATCTGGTTTGGACCAAGAATTACAAGACAAACTTGAAGGTTATACTAACCTCACGTTTGTTGAAGCTTGCAAATTGGTGATTAAGTTCGATGCTAAGAGGAAAAAGAAGAAGCCTACTACCATCCCTCAATTGGCACGAAAACCTTCTTTCCCTACAAAGGAAGGGTCTTCCTTCAACAGACCGAGTAATCCACCAAAGAAGGACACCAAGGACGTGAAGCTAGGTGACATTGTGTGTTACAAATGTGGAGGACGAGGTCATTACAAGAAGGATTGTCCTAATACTAGGGCGTTAACCATACAAGAGGTTAAGCTCATGGCCACTCAAAACATCAACTGGGATGAGTTTGAGGAGGAGGAAGAAGAAGTTGAAGATGATTGTGATGATTGCATGGCCGAGCCAGAGGGGAAGACTAGCCTCGTGATTAGGAGGGCCTTGCAAGCACGTGTGGAAGAGCATGCTGCCCCCCAACGCCAACACATTTTCATCACCCGTTGTAGAATTGGTGACGAGGTATGTGATTTGATTATTGATGGAGGGAGTGAGGCTAATACCGTGTCTAAGACCTTAGTATCTAAACTTGGTCTAACTACTACTAATCATCCACAACCTTACAAGTTGAGTTGGTTAGATTCAAATGCTAGCACCGGGGTTAGGAAGCAATGCATGGTTTCTTTTTGTGTTGGTTCATATTGTGATTCTATATTATGTGATGTTGTGTCTATGGATGCTTGTCATATTCTACTTGGTAGGCCTTGGCAAACGGATAAAAAATCTATACATGATGGGTATCACAATACGTATACCATAGTCCATGAAGGGAGGAAGAAAAAACTACACCCTTTACCACCCCCACGGTTTTCACCATCACAAACCCCACAAAAAGAAGTATCCTTGTTGTCTCTTAAAGAGTTTGAGAGGGAGTTGGAAGGTGAGGGAGAGTTGTTCATGCTGTACTCCAAGGAAACCCACGAAAAATTTGTTGCTCATAATCCTAGGTTAGCCCAATTGATTAAGGATTTTGAGGACGTTTTTCCGGATGAATTACCTAAAGGACTACCACCCATACGAGGAATTGAGCATCAAATTGATCTCATTCCCGGAGCACCCTTGCCAAATAAACCAGCCTATAGATGTAACCCTTTAGAAACTAAGGAGTTACAACGACAAATTGAAGAGCTAATGGGTATGGGTTATGTGCGTGAGTCCATGAGTCCATGTGCCGTTCCTGCTTTGTTGGTCCCTAAGAAAGATGGTACTTGGAGAATGTGTATTGATAGTAGAGCCGTTAATAACATTACCATCAAGTACAGGTTTCCAATTCCAAGGCTTGATGACATGCTTGATGAGCTGAGTGGTTCCAAGGTCTTCTCAAAAGTAGACTTGAGAAGTGGGTATCATCAAATTCGCATGAGAGAAGGGGATGAATGGAAGACTGCGTTCAAGACAAAGCATGGGTTGTATGAGTGGCTCGTCATGCCATTTGGCCTTACAAATGCCCCTAGCACGTTCATGAGATTAATGAATGAAGTGCTAAGGCCATTTCTTGGCAAGTTTGTGGTAGTATACTTGGATGACATTCTCATTTATTCACGTGATGAAGAAGCTCATTTTGATCATCTTTTTCAAGTATTTTCTGTTTTAAGACAAGAAAAATTGTATGGGAAACTAGAAAAATGTGATTTTTTATTGTATGAAGTCATGTTTCTTGGCTATATAGTTTCAGGTGATGGCGTGAAGGTAGACCCTAGCAAAATTGAAGCAATTCAATCATGGCCTAGTCCAAAAACACTCACGGAGGTCCGTTCTTTCCATGGCCTAGCTTCTTTCTATAGAAGATTTATCAAGAATTTTAGCACACTCATGGCTCCTATAACTGAGTGTACTAAGAAGGGGACGTTTGAATGGACTACACAAGCTCAAAAGGCCTTTGAAGAAGTCAAGGAGAAAATGTGCAACACTCCTATTCTCGCACTTCCTGATTTTTCCAAGCCATTTGAAGTTGAGTGTGACGCAAGTGGAAAAGGTATTGGTGCCGTGTTGATTCAAGGTGGGCGTCCTATTGCCTACTTTAGTGAGAAGATGAGTCAAGGCAAGTTGAATTACTCCACCTATGACAAAGAGTTCTATGCTATGGTAAGAGCTCTAGAACATTGGTCACATTATTTGAGACCACAACCTTTCATTTTGCATTCCGATCATGAATCATTGAGGTTCATACATGGTCAAAAGAAGCTGAACGCAAGACACGCAAAGTGGGTCGAATTTTTACAAACATTTAACTTTTCCTCTAAATACAAGAGTGGGAAAGCTAATGTGGTTGCGGATGCCTTGTCTAGAAGACATAATTTGCTTGGAATGGTTGAAGCAAAGGTACTTGGGTTCGATTTGATCAAGGAGTATTATCAAGAAGATGATGAACTCAAGGGGATAATTGAAAAATGTGTCCATGGAGTCTATGATCTGTTTTCCTTACATAATGGTTTTCTTTTTAAAGGAAATAGATTATGTATTCCAAAATGTCCCATTAGAAGTTTGTTGATACATGAAGCTCATGGGGGAGGACTAGCTGGTCACGTTGGTATTCACAAGACAATGGAGCTTCTCCAAGCTCACTTTTATTGGCCGAAAATGTTAGCCACGGTTCATCGTGTGGTGAGTCGTTGTTCTACTTGTCAAAGAGCAAAAATGGTGTTTCACAAAGGTCTCTACAAGCCCTTGCCAATTCCCGAAAGACCTTGGGAAGATGTTAGTATGGATTTTATTGTAGCTTTGCCTAGAACTCAAAGAGGCAAGGATTCAATAATGGTGGTGGTTGATCGGTTCTCAAAAATGGCTCACTTCATTCCTTGCCATAAAACTGAAGATGCAATGAAAGTGGCTAAGTTATATTTTGAAGAGGTGGTTCGTTTTCATGGGGTGCCACGCACCATTGTGTCGGATCGTGATACTAAGTTCCTAAGTCATTTTTGGAAGTCTATGTGGCGTTTGATGGGAACTAAGTTGCTGTTTTCTACCTCACATCATCCACAAACTGATGGTCAAACGGAGGTGGTGAATAGAATACTTGGTTCGTTGCTTAGGGCTTTGGTGAGCAAAAGTACCAAAGATTGGGATAATAAGCTTGCTCATGCCGAGTTTGCTTATAATAGGACACCTAGTGCTACTACAAAGTATTCTCCTTTTGAAGTAGTCTATGGCGTCAATCCTTATGTTCCCATTGATCTTATTTCTTTGCCAAAAGACAAGTTCGTTCATGGTGGGGCAAAGGAGCAAGCCGAGTTCATGCTTAAAGTCCATAAAGAAGTTCGAAGAAACATTGAAAAGGCAAATGAAATCTACAAGAAACAAGCCAACAAACGAGTGCGAAATGTGAAGTCTTTTGAAGTTGGGGACTTGGTGTGGATTTACATGAGGAAAGAACGTTTTCCTAGCAAAAGGAAGAACAAGCTTATGCCAAGAGCCGAGGGTCCGTTTGAGGTCATGGAAAAGATCAATGACAACGCATACAAAGTTGATTTGGGAGGCCAATATGGTGTCTCAAGTACATTCAACATTGGTGATCTTGCTCCTTACTTTGATGATGACGAATTGAGGGCAATTCCTTTTGAAGAAGGGGAGGATGACCAAGATGGTCAAGGGTCACTCATCCATGGTCAAGATAAGGAAGTCCAAAACGGTGCTAGTGAGCAAGGTACTGAGGGAATCTTTTTGTCCAAATCATTCTTCAATCCAATGCACGGTTTTAGTCCAAGGAGTTTAACAAATGGTTACACTTCTCTTAGTGTAACTAATCTTGTTGAAGGCGTCTAGTTAATATGTCGTTTTTCCAAGCTTGAAGCCACGCATGATTGATGCATTTGAGAGTTACATTGGTGACCAATATGGTCAAAGTTCTAATGATTGTGATGCTCCAAGTAGTCAAGGTGAGGTCCAAGTTCAAAGCAATGCAAAGGAGTTGTTTCTATCCAAAACATTCCTTACTCTTTTGCACGGTTTTGGTCCGAATCATTTTACAAGTGGTTACACTTCACTTAGTGTAATTAACCTTGTAGAAAGTATCTAGCAAGTGACGGTTTTCCAAGCTCCAAGTGCAACGGTTACAAGCTGATTATGAAGGCGTGATTCAAGGCTTGTGTTGGGCGTGAATTTAGGCATTGGTTGGCTGATTATTCTATCTCTTTACTTGGGGGTTATTTGTACTTAATTAGAGAGTTGTTGCTGGAATAAAGGAGCTTGAATCAAGGGTTTAAATGGGAGGTTACAAGCGTGACTCAAGGGGGCTGTTTGCACGTTTCTTGGACGTTGAAGATGCTCTTTGAAGACTTCATGTTTGCTGAACGTTTCCTCTTTGATTTAAGCATAGTTTTTAAGCTTAATTGAGTAGTTTTATTTTGTTGTTATGAGGGATTAATTGGACGGTTATATGAGCCTTTTAATCACCTTATAGTTAGTATCTTATTTTGTCTTTTAAATTAGGCAAGTGATGGATGATCATTAAAACTTGTAAAGAGGAATCCCATGTTCCTTTATGTAACTTATACACTACTATAAATAGTGTGCTATGCATGAATGAAAAGTATCCAGAAATTTGCTTAAACACTTGTGTTTTGATTGATTAAACGTGACTTAGTAACTAGTCATTTTTAAGGTCCAAGTTTGTTAACTCAAATTTGAAGAGTGCTAGTTTTGGTAGAGTGTTCCCAAACCTAGGAGCTTGCGTAGTGAACGAGTGGGTTGAGTGTTCCCTATTCCTAACTACACCAAGCAAAGGGTGAGTGTTCCCCTTTGTTATATCCGAAACTAGGGTGAGTGTTCCCCTATTTTCACCTTCATTGTTCACGATTTCACTAAGACCCCTTAACACATACTTTTGTAACAAGGTTCTCATCTTGTTTACACATCATTTGGCGCGTCAGGTAGGGGGTGTTTTTTCTAAACATTTCCTAAGGGGTCGAATACCTACATACCATGGGAGAAAACCCGGACTTAAGGACAGCGTTGGAAGCTCTTAATCGATCCATTGCTAGTCAAGAAAGGTTGGCCGAAACCAATGCCAATCTACAAGGGAACCTTGCTGCCTTGATGGCAAGGCTCATGAACGAGCAAGATAGGAGAGATCAAAATGAGGACCCTCCACCTAGGAGGGAGGATAGAAGCCTCAAAGTGGACGTTCCTTCTTTTGATGGGACACTTGATCCAGAGAAGTACTTGGAATGGGAGAAATCCTTGGAGAGGTACTTTGAATATAAGGACATTCATGAGGATGTTCAACGTTTTAAGATTGCCAAAGTCAAGCTTAAAGGCTATGGTGATAGTTGGCTACAAGGAGAGCAAAGGGGACGTGCCCTTAGGGGGAAAGCTCCTATCTCTACTTGGGGCAAACTCAAGAAACGGATGAAAGACCGTTTCATCCCACACAATTACAAGCAGAGTCAATATGTGAAGTGGAGTACCTTGCAACAAAATGGGGACTCTGTGGAGGATTACATAAAAGAGTTTGATAGACTTGCTATTGTGTGTGAAGTAACCGAAAATGAAGAGCTCAAGATGGGGCGTTTCGTATCTGGTTTGGACCAAGAATTACAAGACAAACTTGAAGGTTATACTAACCTCACGTTTGTTGAAGCTTGCAAATTGGTGATTAAGTTCGATGCTAAGAGGAAAAAGAAGAAGCCTACTACCATCCCTCAATTGGCACGAAAACCTTCTTTCCCTACAAAGGAAGGTTCTTCCTTCAACAAACCAAGTAATCCACCAAAGAAGGACACCAAGGACGTGAAGCTAGGTGACATTGTGTGTTACAAATGTGGAGGACGAGGTCATTACAAGAAGGATTGTCCTAATACTAGGGCGTTAACCATGCAAGAGGTTAAGCTCATGGCCACTCAAAACATCAACTGGGATGAGTTTGAGGAGGAGGAAGAAGAAGTTGAAGAAGATTGTGATGATTGCATGGCCGAGCCAGAGGGGAAGACTAGCCTCGTGATTAGGAGGGCCTTGCAAGCACGTGTGGAAGAGCATGCTGCCCCCCAACGCCAACACATTTTCATCACCCGTTGTAAAATTGGTGACGAGGTATGTGACTTGATTATTGATGGAGGGAGTGAGGCTAATACCGTGTCTAAGACCTTAGTATCTAAACTTGGTCTAACTACTACTAATCATCCACAACCTTACAAGTTGAGTTGGCTAGATTCAAATGCTAGCACCGGGGTTAGGAAGCAATGCATGGTTTCTTTTTGTGTTGGTTCATATTGTGATTCTATATTATGTGATGTTGTGTCTATGGATGCTTGTCATATTCTACTTGGTAGGCCTTGGCAAACGGATAAAAAATCTATACATGATGGGTATCACAATACGTATACCATAGTCCATGAAGGGAGGAAGAAAAAACTACACCCTTTACCACCCCCACGGTTTTCACCATCACAAACCCCACAAAAAGAAGTATCCTTGTTGTCTCTTAAAGAGTTTGAGAGGGAGTTGGAAGGTGAGGGAGAGTTGTTCATGCTGTACTCCAAGGAAACCCACGAAAAATTTGTTGCTCATAATCCTAGGTTAGCCCAATTGATTAAGGATTTTGAGGACGTTTTTCCGGATGAACTACCTAAAGGACTACCACCCATACGAGGAATTGAGCATCAAATTGATCTCATTCCCGGAGCACCCTTGCCAAATAAACCAGCCTATAGATGTAACCCTTTAGAAACTAAGGAGTTACAACGACAAATTGAAGAGCTAATGGGTATGGGTTATGTGCGTGAGTCCATGAGTCCATGTGCCGTTCCTGCTTTGTTGGTCCCTAAGAAAGATGGTACTTGGAGAATGTGTATTGATAGTAGAGCCGTTAATAACATTACCATCAAGTACAGGTTTCCAATTCCAAGGCTTGATGACATGCTTGATGAGCTGAGTGGTTCCAAGGTCTTCTCAAAAGTAGACTTGAGAAGTGGGTATCATCAAATTCGCATGAGAGAAGGGGATGAATGGAAGACTGCGTTCAAGACAAAGCATGGGTTGTATGAGTGGCTCGTCATGCCATTTGGCCTTACAAATGCCCCTAGCACGTTCATGAGATTAATGAATGAAGTGCTAAGGCCATTTCTTGGCAAGTTCGTGGTAGTATACTTGGATGACATTCTCATTTATTCACGTGATGAAGAAGCTCATTTTGAGCATCTTTTTCAAGTATTTTCTGTTTTGAGACAAGAAAAATTGTATGGGAAACTAGAAAAATGTGATTTTTTATTGTATGAAGTCATGTTTCTTGGCTATATAGTTTCAGGTGATGGCGTGAAGGTAGACCCTAGCAAAATTGAAGCAATTCAATCATGGCCTAGTCCGAAGACACTCACGGAAGTTCGTTCATTTCATGGACTTGCTTCTTTCTATAGAAGATTTATCAAGAACTTTAGCACACTCATGGCTCCTATAACTGAGTGTACTAAGAAGGGGACGTTTGAATGGACTACACAAGCTCAAAAGGCCTTTGAAGAAGTCAAGGAAAAAATGTGCAACACTCCTATTCTTGCACTCCCTGATTTTTCCAAGCCATTTGAAGTTGAGTGTGACGCAAGTGGAAAAGGTATTGGTGCCGTATTGATTCAAGGTGGGCGTCCAATTGCTTATTTCAGTGAGAAGATGAGTCAAGGCAAGTTGAATTACTCCACCTATGACAAAGAGTTCTATGCTATGGTGAGAGCTCTAGAACATTGGTCACATTATTTGAGGCCACAACCTTTCATTTTGCATTCCGATCATGAATCATTGAGGTTCATACATGGTCAAAAGAAGCTGAACGCAAGACATGCAAAGTGGGTCGAATTTTTGCAAACATTTAACTTTTCCTCTAAATACAAGAGTGGGAAAGCTAATGTGGTTGCGGATGCCTTGTCTAGAAGACATAATTTGCTTGGAATGGTTGAAGCAAAGGTACTTGGGTTCGATTTGATCAAGGAGTATTATCAAGAAGATGATGAACTCAAGGGGATAATTGAAAAATGTGTCCATGGAGTCTATGATCTGTTTTCCTTACATAATGGTTTTCTTTTTAAAGGAAATAGATTATGTATTCCAAAAAGTCCCATTAGAAGTTTGTTGATACATGAAGCTCATGGGGGAGGACTAGCTGGTCACGTTGGTATTCACAAGACAATGGAGCTTCTCCAAGCTCACTTTTATTGGCCGAAAATGTTAGCCACGGTTCATCATGTGGTGAGTCGTTGTTCTACTTGTCAAAGAGCAAAAATGGTGTTTCACAAAGGTCTCTACAAGCCCTTGCCAATTCCCGAAAGACCTTGGGAAGATGTTAGTATGGATTTTATTGTAGCTTTGCCTAGAACTCAAAGAGGCAAGGATTCAATAATGGTGGTGGTTGATCGGTTCTCAAAAATGGCTCACTTCATTCCTTGCCATAAAACTGAAGATGCAATGAAAGTGGCTAAGTTATATTTTGAAGAGGTGGTTCGTTTTCATGGGGTGCCACGCACCATTGTGTCGGATCGTGATACTAAGTTCCTAAGTCATTTTTGGAAGTCTATGTGGCGTTTGATGGGAACTAAGTTACTGTTTTCTACCTCACATCATCCACAAACTGATGGTCAAACGGAGGTGGTGAATAGAATACTTGGTTCGTTGCTTAGGGCTTTGGTGAGCAGAAGTACTAAGGATTGGGATGTCAAGCTAGCTCATGCCGAGTTTGCTTACAATCGGACTCCTAGTTCTACTACCAAGTACTCTCCTTTTGAAGTAGTCTATGGTGTCAATCCGTATGTTCCTATTGATCTCATAGCTTTGCCACAAGACAAGTTCGTTCATGGTGGAGCTAAGGAACAAGCCGAGTTCATGTTGAAGGTCCACAAGGAAGTTAGGAAGAACATTGAGAAAGCAAATGAAGTCTACAAGAAACAAGCCAACAAGAGGGTGAAAAACGTGAAGCAATTTGAAGTTGGTGACTTAGTGTGGATTTACATGAGGAAAGAGAGGTTTCCTAGCAAAAGGAAGAACAAGCTTATGCCAAGAGCCGAAGGTCCATTTGAAATCGTGGAAAAGATCAATGACAATGCATACAAGGTTGATTTGGGGGGCCAATTTGGTGTCTCAAGCACATTCAACGTTGGGGACCTTGCTCCATACTTTGATGATGACGAATTGAGGGCAATTCCTTTTGAAGAAGGGGAGGATGACCAATATGGTCAAAGTTCTAATGATTGTGATGCTCCAAGTAGTCAAGGTGAGGTCCAAGTTCAAAGCAATGCAAAGGAGTTGTTTCTATCCAAAACATTCCTTACTCTTTTGCACGGTTTTGGTCCGAATCATTTTACAAGTGGTTACACTTCACTTAGTGTAATTAACCTTGTAGAAAGTATCTAGCAAGTGACGGTTTTCCAAGCTCCAAGTGCAACGGTTACAAGCTGATTATGAAGGCGTGATTCAAGGCTTGTGTTGGGCGTGAATTTAGGCATTGGTTGGCTGATTATTCTATCTCTTTACTTGGGGGTTATTTGTACTTAATTAGAGAGTTGTTGCTGGAATAAAGGAGCTTGAATCAAGGGTTTAAATGGGAGGTTACAAGCGTGACTCAAGGGGGCTGTTTGCACGTTTCTTGGACGTTGAAGATGCTCTTTGAAGACTTCATGTTTGCTGAACGTTTCCTCTTTGATTTAAGCATAGTTTTTAAGCTTAATTGAGTAGTTTTATTTTGTTGTTATGAGGGATTAATTGGACGGTTATATGAGCCTTTTAATCACCTTATAGTTAGTATCTTATTTTGTCTTTTAAATTAGGCAAGTGATGGATGATCATTAAAACTTGTAAAGAGGAATCCCATGTTCCTTTATGTAACTTATACACTACTATAAATAGTGTGCTATGCATGAATGAAAAGTATCCAGAAATTTGCTTAAACACTTGTGTTTTGATTGATTAAACGTGACTTAGTAACTAGTCATTTTTAAGGTCCAAGTTTGTTAACTCAAATTTGAAGAGTGCTAGTTTTGGTAGAGTGTTCCCAAACCTAGGAGCTTGCGTAGTGAACGAGTGGGTTGAGTGTTCCCTATTCCTAACTACACCAAGCAAAGGGTGAGTGTTCCCCTTTGTTATATCCGAAACTAGGGTGAGTGTTCCCCTATTTTCACCTTCATTGTTCACGATTTCACTAAGACCCCTTAACACATACTTTTGTAACAAGGTTCTCATCTTGTTTACACATCAATTGGACTGATTATGAAGGCGTGATTCAAGGCTTGTGTTGGGCGTGAATTAAGGCATTGGTTGGCTGATTATTCTACCTCTTTACTTGGGGGTTATTTGTACTTAATTAGAGAGTTGTTGCTGGAATAAAGGAGCTTGAATCAAGGGTTTAAATGGGAGGTTACAAGCGTGACTCAAGGGGGCTGTTTGCACGTTTCTTGGACGTTGAAGATGCTCTTTGAAGACTTCATGTTTGCTGAACGTTTCCTCTTTAATTTAAGCATAGTTTTTAAGCTTAATTGAGTAGTTTTATTTTGTTGTTATGAGGGATTAATTGGACGGTTATATGAGCCTTTTAATCACCTTATAGTTAGTATCTTATTTTGTCTTTTAAATTAGGCAAGTGATGGATGATCATTAAAAGTTGTAAAGAGGAATCCCATGTTTCTTTATGTAACTTATACACTACTATAAATAGTGTGCTATGCATGAATGAAAAGTATCCAGAAATTTGCTTAAACACTTGTGTTTTGATTGATTAAACGTGACTTAGTAACTAGTCATTTTTAAGGTCCAAGTTTGTTAGCTCAAATTTGAAGAGTGCTAGTTTTGGTAGAGTGTTCCCAAACCTAGGAGCTTGCGTAGTGAACGAGTGGGTTGAGTGTTCCCTATTCCTAACTACACCAAGCAAAGGGTGAGTGTTCCCCTTTGTTATATCCGAAACTAGGGTGAGTGTTCCCCTATTTTCACCTTCATAGTTCACGATTTCACTAAGACCCCTTAAAACATACTTTTGTAACAAGGTTCTCATCTTGTTTACACATCAGGATTCATTTGGCTTTGTTCGAATGTTTTTTACTTTCATTTGATTCAATAAGCTTTGTAGAATGCATTTGACTTTCATTTGATTCAATTAGCTTTGTTTAAATGTGTTTGACTTTCATTTGATTTAATTAGGTTTGTTTGAATGTGTTTGACTTTCATTTGATTCAATTGGCTTTGTAGAAAGCATTTGACTTTTAATAGCTTTGATTGAATGCATTTGACTTTTATTTGATTTAAATAGCTTTGTTTGAATGTTTTTTGACTTTCATTTGATTTAATTAGGTTTTTTTAGATGTTTTTTTACTTTCATTTGATTCAAATAGCTTTGTCTGAATGTGTTTTGACTTTCATTTGATTTAATTAGATTTTTTTAGATGTTTTTTGACTTTCATTTGATTCAATTTGCTTTGTTGAATGCATTTGACTTTCATTTGATTCAAAAAGCTCTGTTTGAATGTATTTGACTTACATTTGATTCTGTTAGGTTTGTTTGAATGTGTTAAACTTTCATTTGATTCAATTAGCTTTGTAGATTGCATTTGACTTTCATTTAACTCAAATAGCTTTGTTGAATGTGTTTTGACTTTCATTTGATTCAAACAGTTTTGTCTGAATGTGTTTGACTTTCATTTGATTCAATTAGGTTTGTGTAAATGTGTTTGACTTTCATTTGATTCAATTGGCTTTGTTGGAATGTCTTTTACTTTCATTTGATTCAATTAGATTTGTAGAATCAATTTGACTTTCATTTGATTTTAAATAGCTTTGTCTAAATGTGTTTGACTTTCATTTGATTTAATTAGATTTTTTTAGATGTTTTTGACGTTCATTTGATTGAATGAGCTTTGTAGAATGCATTTGACTTTCATTTGATTCAAATAGCTTTGTTTGAATGTGTTTGACTTTCATTTGATTCAATTAGGTTTTTTAGATGTTTTTTGACTTTCGTTTGATTCAATTAGCTTTGTTGAATGCATTTGACTTTCATTTGATTCAAAAAGCTCTGTTTGAATGTGTTTGACTTACATTTGATTCAATTAGCTTTGTTTGGATGTGTTTGACTTTCGTTTGATTCAATTAGGTTTGTTTGAATGTTTTTGACTTTCGTTTGATTCAATTAGCTTTGTTGAATGCAATTGACTTTAATTTGATTCAAAAAGCTCTATTTGAATGTGTTTGACTTACAATAGATCTAATCAGCTTTGTTTGAATGTGTTTGACATTCATTAGATTCAATTAGCTTTGTTTGAATGTGTTTGACTTTCATTTGATTCAAATGGATTTGTTCGAATGTTTTTTACTTTCGTTTGATTCAGTTAGCTTTGTAGAATGCATTTGACTTTTATTTTGATTCAAATAGCTTTGTTTGAATGTGTTTGACTTTCATTTTGATTTAATTAGGTTTTTTTAGTTGTTTTTTACTTTCATTTGATTCATTTAGCTTTGTTGAATGCATTTGACTTTCTATTGATTCAAAATGCTCTGTTTGAATGTGTTTAACTTACATTTGATCCAATTAGCATTGTTACAATGTGTTTGACTTTCATTTGATTCAATTAGCTTTATAGATTGCATTTGACAGTCATTTGATTCAAAAAGCTATGTTTTATTGTGTTTGACTTTCATTTGATTCAATTAGGTCTGTTTGAATGTGTTTGACTATCATTTGATTCAATTAGGTTTGTTTAAATGTGTTTGACTTTCATTTGATTCAATTGGCTTTGTTGGAATGTTTTTGACTTTCATATTTGATTCAATTAGCTTTGTAGAATGCATTTGACTTTCATTTGATTCAAATGGTTTAGTTTGAATGTGTTTTGACTTTCATTGGATTCATTTGGCTTTGTTCGAATGTTTTTTACTTTCATTTGATTCAATAAGCTTTGTAGAATGCATTTGACTTTCATTAGATTCCAATAGCTTTGTTTGAATGTGTTTGACTTTCATTTGATTCAATTAGGTCTGTTTGAATGTGTTTGACTTTCATTTGATTCAATTAGTTTGTTTGAATGTGTTTAACTTTCATTTGATTCAATTGGCTTTGTTGGAATGTTTTTGACTTTCATTTGATTCAATTAGCTTTATAGAATGCATTTGACTTTCATTTGATTCAAATGGTTTAGTTTGAATGTGTTTGACTTTCATTGGATTCATTTGGCTTTGTTCGAATGTTTTTTACTTTCATTTGATTCAATAAGCTTTGTAGAATGCATTTGACTTTCATTAGATTCAATAGCTTTGTTTGAATGTGTTTGACTTTCATTTGATTCAATTAGGTTGTTTGAATGTGTTTGACTTTCATTTGATTCAATTAGGTTTGTTTGAATGTGTTTGACTTTCATTTGATTCAATTGGCTTTGTTGGAATGTTTTGACTTTCATTTGATTCAATTAGCTTTATAGAATGCATTTGACTTTCATTTGATTCAAATAGTTTAGTTTGAATGCGTTTGACTTTCATTGGATTCATTTGGCTTTGTTTCGAATGTTTTTTACTTTCATTCGATTCAATAAGCTTTGTAGAATGCATTTGACTTTCATTAGATTCCAATAGCTTTGTTTGAATGTGTTTGACTTTCATTTGATTTAATTAGGTTTTTTTAGATGTTTTTGACTTTCATTTGATTCATTTAGTTTTGTTTGAATGTGTTTGACTTTCATTTGATTTAATTAGCTTTGTAGATTGCATTTGACCTTCATTTGATTCAAAAAGATCTTTTTGAATGTGTTAGACTTTCATTTGATTCAATTAGCTCTGTTTGAATGTGTTTGACTTTCATTTGATTTAATTAGCTTTGAATGCATTTGACTTTCATTTGATTCAATTGGCTTTGTAGAGAGCATTTGACTTTCAATAGCTTTGTTTGAATGCATTTGACTTTTATTTGATTTAAATAGCTTTGTTTGAATGTGTTTGACTTTCATTTGATTTAATTAGCTTGTTTGAATATCTTTGACTTTCATTTGATTCAATTAGGTTTGTTTGAATGTGTTTGACTTTCATTTGATTTAATTAGCTTTGTAGATTGCATTTGACTTCATTTGATTCAAAAGATCTTT